TTTGATGCGCGTGTTTAAGCTCTCCAGTTGCGTGGTTGTACCTTTCTGCTAAAGCACGGTACGCTCGGTAAAACTCCTCAACTAATTTCATCAGCTCGGGCCGTTTCTTGTAGTACATTTCTGCCCTTCTCGCGAACGAATCCGCGTCTTCTTCGATCAGCTTGATCATGGACTTGACCTTGGAATCCATATCTGAATTCATTATTAATCAAGAAAATCAAATCTCAAAGAATGGATCAAATTAATCAATCTCAAAGAATTAAGGATTATATTAACCTGTGAGATTTTCTTGAAGCCATTTCGAGTTTTTCGGGCTGTTATGACTGTCCCACCACCACGAATACAACCGTCTCGATTCGGAGTGTAATGAATTTGCCATGAGAACAAAAACTTGAGCAAAACAAACGAAATCCTAAACCAAGTAAATGAACATGAAAATTATTCAGATTTCATATGAGCAAGAACACACAAAATGTAATAAGAACTTCATTTTCAAGAACATGATACAAAGACAAAGATCTAGTATTATAAAAGAAAAAGGAAAATGCATTATACAAAGTACAAACTAAAAAGGAAAATGCATTATATATTTCAAAGTAAAACCATTTAATTAGCAGTAATTATGGGACAATGCACAAACATCTTGAGGAAAACATATTTACTGAAAATTTCCATTTAAAAAATAAATAAAAATCGAATCTTTTACAGAAAGACAAGAATCAAAAACCTAAATTTACACATAAAAAAATTCAAAATCACAGCAACAAAATTATGGAAGCAAAATAACACACATTCAGGCAAATGGGCCTTCCTCAAAACTGATAAAAATTGAATCTTTAAATTCATGGAGATTAAAAACATAAAAATAAAAATAAATTGAACTCACAAATTAGAAGTGGCAAAATAAAAATTGAATCTTGATCAGAGCAGCAGCCTTCGTTGCCAAAAAAAAAAAAATGAAAACCACCTCAGCTGCTGAATTTTTTTTTCACTTTCACTTCACCCCATTAATTGTTTCTCTCACATAACTTCTCTCTCTCTATTTTCTCTCTCTAGGTTTTGATGGGTCACCTGCATTATTATGTAAACAGTGAGTCAGTGTTTTTGGTTTTCTTTGTCAGTGTGACATACTGTAAAAGTTACACAAGTGAAATAAACTTTATCAGATACGTAGAGATGTGTGTATGTATGTATATATTCATTCATCTGGCGAGTGAATAAATAAATGTGAATTTGGATTTTTTTTTTTTTTTTTTAAATTGGGAAAATACACGTTACGAGATTATAACAGTATTTAATAGGGATTCATTTCTTGATAACGGACATATTTTCTCTCGCCTGTGGAATTTTATGACTTTTGTCTCTGCTTTATTGGGTACAGAGAATGGTCAGCACTCAGCACCACTCATGAGTCGTGACTCGAGCATGACTGACTCAGTGCATACTCCAAACTTTATTGGTTCTTTTTTTTTTTTTTTTTTTTTCTATAAATTAATAATTACAAATAGTATTTCAAGGATAGTTGGGAAATTAAATTTATTGTAAATTACAGTGATCACCCCTGAGGAAATGTCAAATTATGAAAAACTCCATCATGTTTGGGTAATTACAATCACTTCCTTCAATTATGAATCTTCTTACACCTTCACCATTGCGGTGTCAAATTTAGTGGAATCTTCTAGGTTATGTGGAATATTCTTCAATTTGTACCTGTTTTACCCCATTCGAGCTCTACATTTTGAAACAAGGTACTTGATCGTAAGATGTGTCTTTTGACTTGTAAATATCATATTGTGATGCATCATAAATTGCATTTTTGCAAAAAAACGAGAACAAACTAGAGAACATTCCACGGAATCTAAAAGATTATGTTGAATTCGACACCATAAAGAAGGATGTGTAAGAAGATTCATAATT